CGGGGGCATGGTAGGAAGCAGCCCAGGGCAAGGGAGACAACGTTTGGCTTGGCGTGTATCAGCCGGATCCCCCGCTGAGCCGGCAGGAGCCACAGACCCTGCCTAAAGGGCCCTGGGCTGGGACCCGGTGGAGAGGGAGGGCCCGGGTCCCCCTACCACACAGGCCCCCCCTCGGATAACCAAGGCTGGGGCCAGGAGACACTTCCCAGGAGGAATAGGCCTCTTATACCGTATACCCCCTGATAGAGGGGCCTGGACTTTTGCCTTGAGACATTGTATATCGTATAACCCCTGATAGAGGGGCCTGGACTTTTGCCTTGAGACACTGTATACCGTATAACCCCTGATAGAGGGGCCTGGACTTTTGCCTTGAGACACTGTATACCGTATAACCCCTGATAGAGGGGCCTGGACTTTTGCCTTGAGACACTGTATACCGTATAACCCCTGATAGAGGGGCCTGGACTTTTGCCTTGAGACATTGTATACCATATATCCCCTGATAGAGGGGCCTGGACTTTTACGTTGGAACTTTGGGGGTACTGCGTAGACCCAGTAAGAGGGAGCCAAAACCCCTGACAGGGGCGTAGCCCTTGACACCCCCCAATTGCTCCCTCTCCCCAGATGGCAGCCTGCGGCAAGTGCAGCCGGTCTGATGGCCGAGTGCTGTGATGTGCCCAGCCAGGACTGCTTTGCAAGCGGGGCACCCCTGAGAACTGTCTGTCCGGGGTGGGGGTTGGGTCCCTTTAAGCACAGCCCTCTGCTAGCCTGACACAGCAGCTCCACGCTCTAAGTCCTCCTCTGATGCCCTGCCGGCAATGCTCCGGCCATCCTTAACCCCGGTTCAGGGTCCACTCTGTGTGGACATGCTAGTTCGAATTAGCATGCTAATTCGAACTAGATTTTTTGGCTGGATGCGTTAGTTCGAATTAGCTTAGTTCAAATTAACTAATTCGAACTAAGTTAGTTCGAATTAGCACTGCAGTGTAGACATACCCTAGGAGACCAGGAGAGTGGAGCCCCTGACTGCTGGAGAAAAACAAGGCAGCCAACGACCTTAAGAACGTGCAGTTCTGGGCTGGCACTGATCTCCCTTGATCTGGCAAGTCCCTGGTTTGGGACCAGTCAGGTCCCCAGGATGCTGGACCAGGGAGATTCAATTTGTATTATGATAGAAGACAGCAGGATATGTAATGCAGATTAAAAGCTGAAATGCCAACAGAAGAATGAGAGGAGCAACTCCATACATTTATCTTCTGTTGCATGTATTATTTAAAGTGTTCGAAAACACTATTACTAAGAGTAATAGTACAGATTGGACCTCCCTGGTCCAGCACTGTCGGGACCTGCCCGGTCCAGAATGGGAGAATTTTCCAGACCACGGGGAGGTGTCTTCTGCCACTGGCGTGAGCCAGCCAACCCCCTGCCTCTGGCCCCCCTCCACTCCTCTCCAGCCAGGCTGTCCATCCTGCTGCCACCAGCCCCCCTGGCCTCAGGGCTGCCATGGTCATCTAGAGTTCTCCAGCTCCTGACTCTGTGCTTCCCCAACTCTGTGCTTCGTGGGCAGCCGAGTTTCCCCGGTCACTGGTGGCGGCTGGGATTCTCCAGTTCCAGGCTCTGTGCTCCATGGGTGGCTGAGGTTCTCCAGCCTCCGGCCCCATGCTGCTGTGGACAGCTGGGATTCTCCAGACTCTGCCTCCATGCTGCTGCAGGCAGCTGGGATTATTCAGCGCCTGGCCCCATGCTGCTGTAGGTGGCCAAGGTTTCCCGCCTTGCACTGCCGCGGGCTGCTGGGGTTGTCCGGCCCACTCTCAGCACTTTTGTGGGGCTCTGGCTCCACTGCCCCCAGCTGGGCTGCTGGCTCTCCTACCATTAGGCTTCCAGGCTCTCTGGTCCAGGAGCATCTGTGGTCCTGCTGGACCACGGATGTTGCTGCGTCAGAGTGCCGATTTTCAGAAGTTCAGCCTGTAGCATGTATGAATTTGTACACCGTAGATCAAGGAAAGAGTTCTAAAAAAGAAATCTATTCTAACAGTCTTACAGAATATTGCTTGAATCGTTTAGAACTATACTGAAGAAAGCATTGGAGAACACAGTGAGAAAATCATCCTGTCAAGAGCAGGCTAAGTAGACATAAGTTTTGTTTTCCTATTTGTACTGTGGATGGCATTATATAGCAGTTGCCAGTAAGGGCTACTATAGTTAAGGTAGCAAAACAGTTTCTATTATAATCTGTTTTCATAAACAGTAACCTTTGGGGCTGAAACAAAACAGTTTCTATTATAATCTGTTTTCATAAACAGTAATCTTTGGGGCTGAAACAATCAATACTTGATCTCCTTCAAATCAAGGGAGTCACTAGCTATAGAGCAAGAAATGGAGATCCCCTCCCTTGACTTGTTTGCCCCCCATGACTTTTCATAGGCCTGTAAGTCTTCCGCTTTTTGCCTTTCCATACTTGGTAGGATATAATGTAATCACATACAATGTTTTATAGGGTCCCCGGCCCCTGAATTTTTATGAAATGACATCTCAATTCCAAATGTGAATATATTTATTTGTGAAAAATGTGAGGAAAATTACTTCTGCTGCATTTTTTCAGTTGAATTCTAAATTTCTTTGATTAGAACTACTGCAAATATTAGTCATGTTTAAAATTCGGCATGGATGTAGTCCTGATCAAGAGAAAGGCCTTGCTTGGTTGGAGAAATTAAGGAAAAAAGGTATTTAAAAACATTTTGAGCATATTGAACTGACATCTGGCAAAACCTTAG